CATGGCACTGATCTGACCATAAATATTTTTAGAAAATAACTTAAAGAAAGAGAAATTAAGTTAAATAAATTTTATAAATAAAACAACCCTAATTCCTTGGTCTGAATAAGGCAACCTCATTTACAATCAACATTTATGAAATATTTTAAGTTTTTATGTCGGCTGCATCATAAACTCTTTTGGTGTTTGTGCTGCTTTAGACAAGGACGTAAGCATAGTAATAGAAATTTCAGTAATTATACGATTAATAATCATGGCTCTCTGTACTTAGATGTAATTAGTCAAAGAAAAAGGTAAATATAATTTGAGTTTTAAGGAAATAAGCTAAGAATCGAGGAATATTTTCTGTTTATGAAGTAAATAACCCACAACTAGCTTGTTAACCAGGAATGAAGAAGAAAAGTAAGATGGCATTTTTTGAGAATTGGCACAAATCTCAACAATATTTGACTTATCTCGTGCTTGAAACCAATATTAATGATGTTAAAATTGAAGAAATGTCTTAAATTTTGAGGAGCTAACAGTTGCTAAAAATGATTTTCATTTAACCTTTTGGCAGGGTGTTTTGGTCCTGTGTACAAGCTAATGCTTGTCCATATTGTAGCTTGATTCTGCTTGTAGTGAGTAAAGTCACCATGATTTCATTTTGGGGGGATGGGCAAGAACTAGTAGTTAAAAGGGTTTGAAGGTCCCCTGAACAAGGGCTAGAGGAGTTCGCGAATGAGGTTCTGGTGCTTTCCAAACTGCAACATCACAACCTTGTTAGACTCCTTCGCTGCTGAGTTGAAGCAGAAAAAAAAGAAAAAAAAGCTCATCTTTGAATACCTGTCAAATAAAAGCTAGGATGTTTTGCTGTTTGGTTACTCCTTGAAAAGCTGTTACTTACGTATAATTGTACTAATTCCAAACATCGGCTGATTATCTTTTCATTAACATAGGAATTCCCAATAAATTGTTTATTTACAAAATACTAAAGCTTCTAGCCGATGTTTGTTTCGTTCGTTTATATCCACCGGCTGGTACTGTTCTTTCACTTTAAAATATTATTTCAGAGACTTGTCAGCAAGTCCTGGATTGGATTAAATGCCTCAGTGTTGCTGAAGTGAGGCAGAGGCCTCCTCTGCCTCCATGAGATTCCAGAATTAGTATCATCCATCGTGGTTTTAAAAAGCAAGTAACTTCTTATTGGATGAAGACCCAGATCAAGAATTTCAGATTGAGGAATGGCAAGGATTTTTGGAGGCAAAAAAGTCAAGCTGATATCAGGGGGGTGGTCATATCTCCAATTTTGATCTTATATTAATAGCCAATTATGTGTCGATTTATCAAATATTTCGTATTATTTCGGGTTAAATAAGCCCTCAATTGGAAAATTCATGTAACCTTTTACTTCTCATTATTTTGGGCTAATTAGGCATTTTATTTGAAAATTTTCAGTCTGTCATCTTATTCTTATAATTTTGGGTCAATAGATATATAAGTGGAAAAGATTCATTTTATCGTTTTAATTCTTACCAATTTGGGTTAAACGGGTTTTTCGTGGAAGAAAGAATCAGATTTTATCGTTGAATTCATTATCCTGGGATAAATGGAAAATTTGTTTATGAATTTCATTGTTTGTAGGCCTGGATGTAACAATATTGAAATTCCAACTTGGACTTCGATCAACAGTATCAGATGAACTGATCTAATAAGACGAAATCTTCATCAAATGTCAGATGTACTTTAGCTTCGTGCGCTTTCAGTCTTGTTGAGTGGGATTGGACACCATAGGTTGAGGGAAAGAACGCAGACCACAAAGTGCAAAGGCTGTCGCGCATAGCCAAAAACGGAGAGTGCCGACGGAGCCTGGAAAACAGTACTGTCAACGAAGGACTTCTCATCAATACTACTAGTTATTTTCACACCGACTTTCTATTCCTAGTATTATGCATTGTTGTAATTGTTTTCACGTGTAAAAGATATGATATATCGTATATGTCAGTCTTTTTATTTTTATTTTTATTTTTTTTGGCTACTGTTAGTGTTCTCTCAAGCAACTAGTAGTAGGTTTGTTTATGGTTTCTGAACCTGATTGGCTCATACCAGAACTAGATTGCCAGTTTCAGTTCTGAAAAATTATAAGTCAGGATTAGAAACGTGAAGACCGGTCCAGTTTTAATTCTTGTTTAGGCTAGTTAATGGTTCTAGTTCTGGTTTAATCACCACTCATTCCCGGTTCGATTTAGTTCTCTTTCGATTTTATTGAAAAAATTTTAGATTTTAACTTATAAATATTTTTGAATTGTTAACTATTTTTCAAATATTATAAATATTTAATCTTTAAAAATCTTTCAAAAACTAAACACAGAAAAAATAATCATAATAAAAGATTTGAACTTAATTGTATATCAATTAAGCTACCCAGAAAAAATAATAATTATAAAATATTTGAACTTAATTGTATATCAATTAAGCTACCTAGAAAAAATAATAATAATAAAGAATTTGAACTTAATTGTATATCAATTAAACTACCTACATATCCTCTTGGGATTGAGATAAATCAAAATCTTTGTAGTTATTTTATTTTAATTAGTTTACACCTTTACCTTTTATCTTAAGTTTTACTATCCGGTTTTGGTTGTTGTTCCTAATTTTATTTTTGACTTGACTTTATAATAAATTCTTATTGTTTATAGATAGCCCTTGATTGACTTTCAATATTTGTTGCAAGTATACTCAAATGGGTTTCATCTAATATATGGCATTTTTGCTTTTACTCTTGAAGAATTTTAAAATATTCTTCAAACCTGCACCTTGCTCATTTCATATTAATTAAGTCAATTAATGTTTTGTTAAATATAACTAATTATTGGGATTTGCCCAACAACTGCTGCAATCAAGGAGTTGTGTATTTTTAGAAAATATGAAATTTTTAATTTATTTTCAGAAAATTAGAAAATTGAACATTTTAATTTTCTATTAAACCTAACTATTTACTAAAAATAAATTAAATTAGTAAAAAATCTTTATTAAATTTTTAAAATTTTTGTTAATCAATGTGTCTAAAATAAATTTATATCTAAAATTAAGTTTTTCTTTTATATTTAAAAAATAAAATTTATAGATTCATATCTAAAAAGTAAGTAAAAGTTCTTTTTCTATATTTAATATAAAGAAAAAACAAATTTTCACGATTACGGTTCACGATTTACTCATAGTATAGTTCATGATTCACTTCTCATAGTTTATTTATGGTTATGGTTCATGATTTCAGTTTACGGTTCAATGTTAATAGTTCACTCATGGTTCCGGCACATGGCTCAAATTCAATTCAAGTAATACGGTTTTATCCGATTCTAGTTCACTAATTCTAGTACAGTTCCGGTTCTGATTTCGGTTTATATTCAAAAAAATCATGAATTTTAACAAACCGTGAAATAGGGTTCAAACCTGAACTAGACTAGAAACTGATGGTTGGTTTGGTCCTTTTTTGTAAGATTCGGTCCGCATAGGCTTACAGTGTAAATTGGACTTGTGAACAAGCCTAACAAGTGGCCAAAGCTAAACTAGACATGAATTATCGCAAGCATTTTTATATAATATAATAATTTTTTATTTACCAAAATAGTTACATCATGTTTTATTTATCAAAATGGTTAAAAACTACTTATCTTAAAAGTTGGTCTAGACCAAACTAAATTTTTTACAAAAATCGGTTGGATCAAAACCAACTTTCTAACAAAGTTAGTTTTAAAAAATTGACTTTCTAAAAAAGTCAGCTCAAGAATTCTATCCAACCCAAGCAGAGCTCCATCTTTGGATGAAGCTTAGGTCCCAAGGGGACCAACTTCCCCTAGGAAGTCAACCCTTCCTAGGCCAGCTTCCTTGGGGAGTTAGTCCTCCTTGAATTGGATTTTCTATAAAGTTGATTTTTTAAAAAATTGATTATCTTAGAAGCCAATTTTGACTCAACTGATTTTTATAAAAAAAAAATTGGTTTGGCCAAATTAACTTTATGACAGAAGGCGTTTTTAACCATTTTTATAAATAAAATAAGATATAATTATCTTCGCCAATACAAAATTATTATATTAATAAAAAAAGGACAATAATCGCCTAGTCACCGTTGCAGCAAAACATGTGCTTTGTGTTTTTTCTCAAATATAAAAAATGACCAGTCGCTTGCGTGAGGCTTGACTTTAACTTCAATGAGCGTGCTTGAAGACATGTCCTAATGTAAGCCTAGAATGACGAGGCTTGCTAATGTGTAACGTATTTTTCTTCAATTTTGAGGTTGGAAGATGTAATCATAAAACGAAATTACTCTAGGGGTAAGTTAATTTTGTAAAATTAAAAGTAGTCTTCAAGTTTTAATGATCAAGACGGATGCTGCGGTGCAGATTTTAATTCGGCCAAGTGAAGAACTTTCAATAAATTAATGGAAAAATAAAAACATAGTCAATGGGAAAAGAAGAAAACTCATACTAGTCGGGTATGAAAACGGAGGCTTTGATAGAATGGTTTATTTGAATTTCATGTCATAATAAGAGGGCTGGGAAAAGAGAAAAACAGCGATGCCCTGTACTGTACGTTCATGCCAACTTTTCCAACCTCGAACAGGAGGGGAGAGATTGAACAGCTTCTAATTGCCTTTTAATATTGAAATGACAAATAATATAAAGATCTGAGAAGTTACTGCCGTAAGAATTTCCATCTTAAAACCTATATAAAATTTGAAAGTTAGGGAATTCAATTTATTGCGCTTCAGTATTAGTCGTTGGCATACATAAAAAAGTGAGCTAATTGAAAATTTCTACCCATCAAATACGGCGGAATTGCTGTTTTCAAATCACAAAATAATTAAGTCTTCTTTGATACCTACGTTACTGGACCTAGATAGCCAATTACCATCTTCTGTTATGGTCGGCCAAGAAATTTCCAAAGATGTGCTCCTGCTGAGAAGTATGAATAATCATAGCAATTGAAAAATCATCTTAGCATAAATAGTCCGTAACATGGCAGTGCAGCATCTAATCCTAACCCACCCAAAATCATCCGAAGTCATGGAATTCATCATCTGTAAAAGAGCACTTCATGTTGAGGTCCTCTTCCTCTTCTTCTCTTGTTTTGCTTTGAAGTCTAATTTCGCCTCAGACACCATCACATCTACTAAGCCCATCACTGGCCCTGAAACCATTCTCTCCGCCAACAAGGCCTTTTAACTACGATTCTTCAGCCCTCCCAATACCACCAACCGCTATGTTGGCATCTGGTTCAGCAATGTTCCTGTTAGATCAGTTGTCTGGGTAGCCAATCGAGATAGACCCCTGAATGATATGCCAGGGACTATAACCATCTCCGAAGAAGACAATCTTGTTGCTATCGATGGACACAAGGAGATTATTTGGTCATCAAATATATCAAACTTTATGGCCAATTCAAGTGCCCGTCTTTTAGACTTGGGGAACCTTACGCTGCAGTACCATAGAAAAACACTTTGGGATAGCTTGTTGGGATAATTGGCAGAGATGAAGACAAGGAGGCTGGAGCACTAAGCTAGCTGGGACCACAAGATAGCACGTAGGCAATGTAGTGGAACCTACATGAATATTCCCCCAATTCCTATACCATTATGACAACCTGTTTTGTATTCTTGCTCTTTATCCCTGTATGTAGATATCTCAGAATGTAAATGTATAATGTATGGCTGATTCCTGAATATACAGATGTTTTCCTTTTTAGTTTGTTCTTTCTCTTCCTTTCTCTCCTCATACTCTTTTTGCCTAGCCTGTTCTCTATCCTTCTTTTTTATTCTGTTTTGCTTCATGGTATCAAAGCTGTAAAGGAGAAATCCAAACCCAGTTGTTCTCTTGCACTAATATCTTTCTATTTGAAATCGAAGCAACCATTTCATTTGGAAACTCCGAATCCTCTACCTACCCCATGATGAATCCTACCTCAACTCTTAACTCTCTTAACTTCTCCTCCATCACCCAATCCTAAAACATCAAGTTGAAGGGAACTTTCTGATTTTAAAAAACCAACTACTGAATGTCATCCACGCTAATGTACTTCACAAGTTTATCAAAGAAGGTGCCTTTCCTCCTGCTGAATTCCTTGACGAGGGAAAGATTGTAAGAAATCTAGATCACCAGTCATGGAACTGTGTAAATCGACTAATCATGAGTTGGATCTTTTCAACCTTGTCATCTAAACCTCTCAGCTACATCGTTGGACTCTCGACGGCTACTGAAATTTAGACAACCCTGAAGAATAGGTATGAGCCTGCCTTTACAGCTCGGATAATGAGTCTTAGGTCTCAGATTCAACAACTAAGGGAGGAAGCTCAATAATACAATACCTTACTCAACTCAAGGACCTGACAAATGCACTAGCATCTATTGGAGAGCCAGTAAGTTATCGTGATCATCTAGGATATTTATTGGAGGGCTTTCCCAAAGAATATGATGCTTTTGTATCACTAGTCTACAATAGACCAGATAGACCAAGCATCGAGGAGATTAAGAACCTATTGACAGCTTATGATCAAAGGATGGAGAAAAGGTTGGCAATTGACTCGCTCATTCCTCAGGTGCAGTTCAATCGTATGAACTTAGGATTGAGATCTCATCGTTTGCTAGCACCATTTCTTAGTGCTACTAATGCTCCTACTTTCCATCCTCAATTCTAGCAACCTTCTAAACCAAACCCTCGTAGCAACTTGCCTAGCATTCTAGGTCGACCATTGAGCTATTCTTTCAGACCAAACTAGAAGCCCAATTCAAAGAACAAAATCAAATGCCAAATCTACCATAAGATGGGTCATAGTGTGGCCCACTGTTATGTTCTTCTTAATCAAGGCTATCAAACCCAAATTCCTCAAGCGCATCTTACAAGCCTCAACCAAAGTCCAGCAGAAGGGAACCATTCCAATCTGTATACAATCTAACTCTAGCTTTAGGCCTCTCAAATCAGGGTGCAACCGTCATTCGAGTAGAACAAGCAACCCTAACACTTCCCTCATCTGCGAATGACTAGTTCTTGGACTCCTGGGCATCTCATCACCTAGCTTCCTCTTTGAAAAACATGACTTCAGCCTTGACATACCAAGGTAAACATCATGTTATGGTGGAAAATTGGAAATTGATTCCAATCTATCACATTGGTTCCAAAACCTTAACTACTCACTCTAAACCAATTGCATTAAGCAAAGTTCTTCATATACCTTAGATTACCAAAAATCTCATTAGTGTTTCCAAACTTTGTAGTGATAACGATGTACTAATCGAATTTGATTCTAAATCTTTTGTTGTCAAGGATCGAAAATCCCTCTTGCCTCTTCTACACAAGAGCTATGATCAAGGGCTATACAAGCTCAACTTGACTTCTGCTGAAGCTTATGTGTCACCTTTACAATACTATTGGTCTAAGTCTCATTTAACAGTCCTTTTCCTTTTGCTAACGTTTTTGTTAATGTTATGTCTGTTTGAAATCAAAATGCCTATTTGCTATGGCATGCTAGGTTAGGGCATTTGAGTCGTGATGTTTTGTTAAAACTCTTGAGCAAATGCAATGTTAGTTTATTTGAAAGGAATTTTGATCATTCCTGCAAAGCATATTTGTTATCTAAACATCACAAACTTCCTTTACTGCAAAAGATAGTAAAGCATCAAAGCCTTTTACACTTGTGCACAATGATTTATGGAGTCCATCCCTAGTTACTTCTATGAATGGGGATAAATATTTTATACTCTTAGTGGATGATTACTCGAGATTTACTTGATTATAGTTCTTAAAATCCAAAGATGAAGCATATCAAGTGTTTCAGTCCTTTTACAAAATGATAGAAACACAATTCTCTCTAGAATTCATAAAGTAAGATCAGATTGGGGGGTGAATTTTGTTCCCTAAGCAAACTATTTAACATTTAGGGATTCATCATGAAATCTCTTGCCCTTATTCTCCACAACAAAATTGAAGAATTGAACACAAAAATAGTCATGTAGTAGAGGTTGGGTTGAGTTTGCTAAATTATGCCCATGTCCCCAATACTTTCTAGCCTTATGCCTTTTGTAAGGCAGTTTTGATCATTAATCACCTCATTTGCAGACATTTGAACTATAAAATTCATTTTGAACTCATACATAACAAAGAAGTTGACCTAAACTCCTTCAAAGTCTTTGGATGCTCTTGCTATCCCTTACTAAAACCATACATGCCCATAAGCTAGAGCCAAGAACCAAAGAATGTGTTTATATAGGCCATAGTTTTCATCACAAAGATTTCATTTGTCTTGATAAAAAAATAGGTAGAGTATATGTCTCTAGGGATGTTCTTTCCAATAAGATGTCCTTTCCATTTAAAACCCAAGATGACAGGGCTTCCTCTCCAAGTAAATGCTAAGATAGGTGGCCATCTGTAATCTCAATCCATTCTCCAATTATTCCATTTGCTCAGCCTTCATCTACTGAAATTTCCAGCCATACAACTTCTAGCTTTTCAGATCTTCTCAAATAGCATCTCTTCAAGATTCTTCTCCTTCTTTGACCCAAAATTCTCAAGAAATCATGTCTCCCAACTCCACAAATAGGGACTTCAACCAATGTAATGGTGTGGAACAATTTCTTCCCACTAATGTGCAAGTTTTTGTCCAAAATTAACACTTCGAAAAATGAGCAAACTCAATGCAAAATAGAAAGTGTGCATCCCGTGATCGCTAGGTCCAAATCTAGGATCTTTAAACCCAAGACATTCTAAGCAATTCCTGTTGAACCTCTGACCATACAAGAGGCTAAAAGTCAAAAACCTTGGTTGGAAGCTATAAAATTAGAAATAAAATCCCTAAAAAGGAACAATACTTGCACTCTGGTTCTAAAAACTCTTGCCCTAAAATCATTGCATGCAAATGGGTTTATAAGGTGAAACTCAACTCTAATGGAGGCCTAAAAAGATGAAAAGCAAGGATTGTAGCTGAGGGGTTTCAACAAATTCAAGGGATAGATTATACAGAAACTTTCAGCCTTGTTGTAAAACAAAACACCATCAGGATAATTTTAGCTTTAGCTATCTCCTTTAACTGGAAAATTAGGCAACAATGGGGAGCTAACAAAAATTGTTTTTATGGCCCAACCATCTAGTTTTGAGGACAAAGATCATCCTGATTATATGTGCAGACTCAATAAGGCCATATATGGTTTAAAACAAAGTCTTAGAGATTGGTACAATAAGTTGACCAGTTGTCTTTTGAAGTGGGGTTTCAATAACTCAAGAGCTGATTCTTCAACATTTTTCAAGAAAAACCTTGAGTATGTGATAATCATCTTGGTATATGTGAATGATATACTAATCACAAATTCAAACAGTGTTGCTATTAAGAGAGTAATGGAAGATTTGAATGGAACTTTCTCTTTGAAGGAGCTAGGAGATGTATCCTATTTTTTGGGAATTCAGGTATCATGGTCTCAAGAGGGACTCCATTATAGTCAGAAAAAATATATTAAGGAGCTACTTGAGAGAGCTGGAATGACCAATTGAAAACCCATAGCTACACCATTGTCCTCAAACATGAATTTGTCCATACATGATGGTGAACAATTAGAGAATCCCACAATCTATAGAAGCCTAGTAGGTGTTTTACAGTACCTTACCCTAACCAGGCTAGACATTACCTTTGTAGTCAACAAAGTCTATCAATTTCTTCATGCTCCTTCAACAGTATTTTTCCAAGATATAAAAAGGATCCTTAAGTACATTAAAGCCACTCAAGACCATGGGATCTCTTTCTTTGAGGACAAGACTCTTACTCTAACAGGATATGCTAATGCTCATTAGGTTGGCTACTAAGATAATAGAAAGAGCACCAGCAAATACTGCGTCTGCTTGAGCTCAAATCTAATTTCTTGGGCATCAGGCAAGTAAAAGGTAGTCTCTAGGTCTAGCACAGAAGCTATGTATAGAGCTATAGCAAATGCCACAGCTGAGATAATTTGGATTGAGTATCTTTTAAGTGAAATTCAGATCTACTACAAGTCACCTCCTACCTTATTTTGTGACAACATGAGTACAGTGCACTTATCAGCAAATCCTATTTTAACCTTAAAACCAAGCTTGTGGAGATAGATTATCATTTTGTGAGGGATAGGGTAATCGAAGGGAATTTACTGGTTTAACATATCTCTTATACAAACCAAGTTACTAGAGTTTTAACCAAAGTTTATGCCACACACATTTTTTCAAATGAGAAACAAGCTTATTGTTGTTCCATAATATGTAAGCTTGAGAGGGGATGTTGGGATAATTGGCAGAGATGAAGACAAGGATACTGGAGCACTAAGCTTGCTAGGACCACAAGATGGCACGTAGGCAATGTAGTGGAACCTATATGAATATTCCCCCCAATCCCTATACCATTATAACAACTTATTTTGTATTCTTGCTCTTTATCTATATATATATATATATATATATATACACCTCACAATGTAAATGCATAATCCATGGCTGATTCTTGAATATACAGAAGTTTTCCTTTACAGTTTGATCTTTTTCTTCCTTTTTATCCTCATACTCTTTCTACCTAGTCTGTTCTCTATTTTTATGATTCTATTTTGCTTTAGAGCTTTAAGTCCCCTTTAAACACATTGCTACAAAAGATGAGATTGAGCATTAATAATAACACAGGTGAGAAGATTGTGCTGAAATCATGGAGAAGCCTTTCTGATCCATCTGTTGGAATCTTCTTTGTTGGAATTGATCCTCTAACAGTTGTACAATTGGCTGGGTGGAATGGAAATAGTTTGTATTGGCTCAATGGTCTTTGGGATGGTCGGATTTTCATTGGACTAGAAACTATGAATCATAGTTATCTCAATCGCGTTACTTTCGAGTATGATGAGGGAAGTGCATCTATGTACTACATTCAAGATGACTAAACCTTGCATTTCTGTATAAACCCAGATGGAAAAATAGTGAGGATGGTGTGGAACATGGAGAAGCAAGATTAGGCGGTCACTTGGTCAAGTCAAAGAACTGAGTGTGACCTTTATGACAAGTGTGGCTAATTTGGAAGTCGCAACTCAATCAAGTCCCTAGTTTGTAGTTGCTCGCCAGGCTTTAAGCCTGCTTACAAAGAGGAATGGGAACATAGGAACTTCAATGGCGGCTGTGTGAGGAAGGCTATTTTGTAGTGTGAGAAGAATGGGACAGGCAAGAAAGAGGGCTTCCAGAAGCTCACAAGAATGAAATTACCAGATTCACAAGACACATTGTTTATTCCAGAAAGTGAGTGTGAAAACAATTGCTTAAAGAATTGTTCTTGAATAGCATATACATATTATCTGGGGATAGATTGCATGTTGTGGAGCGAATGTTTAGTTGAGTTGCAGGAGGTTTCCAAACATGGGGCAGATCTTTACATTCATCTTACATCTTCTGAGCTTGGTGATTCCTTCTGCTTTAACCGCAGCTTCTGCTACATGGTTACCCTATTTATTAAGCTAGCTTTCTTTCAAGTTTTAATTACCAGAACAAGGCAACCCAATTTTTGTTATTTATCAATATAATTTGTAAACATCTCTTTTTATACTTTTAGTATTTTTTAGCTACTGCTATTTTTTTAGCACTCTTTTAGAAGTAGTAGCTCACATAAAAAAGTCTTATACTAGAAGCAAGTTTTAATGTCTGTCTCCCTAATATTATAAGATATTATTAAACAAAATTTTGAAAATGCTTTTAGTCAGCCCCATGATGAATGCCCCATGCATCCTTTTTGTTATTATTATATTGCACGTTCAAATGCGAGGTTTGTCCTTGCTGAAGTCTTTTCGTTTTTATCCTACTTAGCAGTGAATCATGGCAACAAAGACGTAGCAACTGCAATTTCAGTGACTATAGGTTCAATAATCTTTGCCATGGGTGCTTACATCTCATGGATGTGGGTGGTTAACCAAAGAGGTAAAGTGAAGTAAAGTTACTTCAGCTAAGAAATATTTAAGAAACATTGATGTTTTTGCGCTAGATAACTAATAGCCATCTTGAAAATCAGGAATGTCGAGGTTGAGCAACATGCCACTATTTAAGAATTCCTCCAAGTACCAAGACCATTCGATTGAACTTTTGCTTGACGCTAATGCAATCAATGCTAAACTAGAAGAGCTACAACTTTCAAGATTGAGATGCTGGTAGCAGCAACAAAAAACTTTTCACTTGACCAATAAGCTTGGATGGGGTTGGTTTTGGTCCTGTATACAAGGTAATGCTTTGGTCATTTGTACTTGGCTCTACACAAAATTAAATTAATTTTTAGGGGAAATCCAAATGGGCGAGAGAGAGTTGTGAAAAGGCTATCTAGATGCTCAGGTTAAGGTCTAGAGAAATTCATGAATAGGGTTGTGGCGATTTCTAAACTCCTACATCGCAACCTTGTTAGACTACTTGGCTGTTGCATTGAAGGAGAGGAGAAGATGCTGATCTAAGAAAACAAGCCAAATGGAAGCTTGGATGGTTTCTTGTTTGGTTAGTATCCAAAATATTCGTTACTTATATCTAACATCTCTAATTTCATACTTTTATAGTAAATGGATCTCTGATAGATAAATTTGCCATTATTGCAAATATTTTCTACATGAGCTTCATACACCTATATCCAAACTTCAATCATAATATTGATTTGACTTGTCATAGTGTTTTTACTTACTCAATAGTATTAATTTTTCCCTTGATACTTTTCTTTTAGAGCCTAGCAAACAAGTCTTGGACTGAAATAAGCGTTTCAATATATTTTAAGGGATAGGTAGAGATCTAACTTCACAGAGATTCTAGATTAAGGACCATCCATCGTAACATAAAGGCAAGTAGTAACTTTTTGGATGAAGAGCTAAATCTAAAAATTTCTGATTTTGGCATGGCAAGAATTTTTGCTAGCAATGAAAATCAAGCCGATACAAGGAGGGTGGCTGGGACATAGTAAGTGATGTCTTTCCTCAAAATTTTCATTATGAAATCCTTATTTCATGTTAGAATGACCTTCTGCTAACAAATTTACCATGAGACTCTATAGTGGCTATAGGGTTTCTGAATATACAATGCAAGGGAGGCTTTCAGAGAAATCAGATGCATTCAGTTTTGTAATGTTGTTAGTCGAGATTGTAAGTGGGAAAAGAAGCACTAGTTTTTATGACAATAAACAAGCATTCAACCATTTGGGATTGGTAAGTCTAGTTAAACAACTCAAGTCTCTAGTTGTGTAGCAGTCCAATGTTTATCATCTCGAGAAGTTTCTTTTGTCACTAATTGACCATTTCAGGCATGGAGGTTGTGGAATGAAGACAAAATTTTCACTCTTATAGACCCAAGAATTTCTTATCAAGGCTTTGGAAATGAAATTTTGAGATACTTACATGTTAGTTTGTTATGTGTTCAAGCATTTTCTACTCATAGACCAACCATTTCAAGGTTTCTTTCAATGCTAGGTAGTGAAACTACAATACTACCCTCACCAAATCAACCCACATTTTTGAGAGATATACCTCATATTGGACTGATTCTTCTCACCAAGGCCATCAAAGATGTTCTATGAATGATGTCACTCTTACAGTTGTTAAAGGCTGATAATATCTAAGCTTGAATATTCGTTTACTTGTTTATTTATTACTCCTACTCCTAGGATTCTAGTTTCATCAAGATATGTTGTAGAAACTTGTTTTCAAGAAGGCCAACACAAATTTTCTGTTAGTGATTTCACTTTTGCAATTGTACAAGGTGAATAATGAGTTGATAGTTCTCTTCTTTCTTTTCTTTATTTTTCTTTTTTATTTTCTTCTACAAGCATGTTTTTGTTGAAGTTTTGAAGCCAGACAATCTTTATAGTTCCCACAAATACCTTGTAATTGGTTGTTTCTTAGAGATACAAAGGGTACACCAATTCATGGGAATTGAGTACAAATTTTCCATAGCAATTTGATTGCTTTAATTGTTGGATTGCTGTTGCAGTCATTTTTTGAACCAAATGCTCATAGGTTTGCATAAGTGCTATTATCATTAACTTCTATTCTTTTATGGGTAAGTTTACTTCTTGCCTTACTAAATTGACATGAATTTATTGGATAATGTGCATTTTCACTTACGTTGAAAGCTTTGTATAGAAAAGGAGGAGTATAGATATGATGCAAATTTCAAAGGTAATTTGAGAAACATGGGCCCATTTAAGTGCCCTAAGTTACCTTTTCAAAGAGATCAAGTTCTTGCTAAATGCTAAAGGAAGGAAGACAAGTAAAGTGATTACCTTATGGCTAGATAATTTAAAGCACATCGTTTTCATGAGTTTTGTGTTGATGAGTTGGTTAATTTTAACTTCAATGAATATCGTGAGCTTGAAGACATGACCTAATTTAATCCTAGAAATGGGGAGGCTTGGGATGTGGTGTCCTAATGTGATGTAGTTTTCTTCAAGTTTAAGCTGGCAAATGAAATCATAGAACAAAATTAGTCCAAGCCATAGTTACCGGGAATGTGGTACGTTCTGGTTCATGGTATGGGTGCAGTTACGTGGTACGTTACTTAATTTAATCAGTACGCTATATGGTACGCTTGAACTTTTTTCACTTAAGACATACCATAGTAAATATAAAGTTTATATTTAATTATAATTTTCAATTCAAATTATTTTATTTTTTTATGTACCATACTAAATATAAAGTATACGTTTAATTATAATTTTTAGTTTGAGTTATTTTGTTTTATTATTTTATTTTTCATATACTTTTAATTAATATTCTTAAAATTAATAAATATAAAAAATTTTGAATCATATTAAACTTAAAACTACAGTGATATAATTGTCAAAAAAGGTAATATAAATTACTAGAAAAAATGGGTGGTGATGTGTTTTCAATTTTAGATGATTGTAAATTTAAAAGAAGCCAAAAATAAAAATGAAGAGGTGTCACAAGTCTTCAGCCACCAACACCCAAGTAGTTTAATTACAATAGGATGGGGGACTCAATTGAAAATCATGAAACCTAGGGTAACTGATTTGAAAGGGGAAAAAAGAGAGGCTTGGGGTAGTTTAAATATTCCCTCTTCTTTTCTTTTTTTCCTTTTTTTTTCCTCTTCTTCTTCCCGTATGCCTTTCCCCCTTCTAGATTCTTCTTCCCCTTTTCTATTTTCCCCTTCATCCTCTGCGCATGCCGTAGTTGACTATTGCTATGCCTCTATTACAAATTAAATCTTTGTCATTTTTTCTTTACTTTTCCTCTTTTTTGTGCTCGATCTCTCCTTGCAGCCACCAATCAGTATTGCTGTTTGTGAATTGAAACAAGAAAATAGGGGGAAGCCAAGGCCTCCTTTGTAGAAAGAGAAAGTGAAGAAGAAGAAAAATAGAGCATAGTCAATGGGTTTGTGGAGAGAAAAAGTGAAGAAGAAGAAAAACAGAGGGTGGTCATGAGTTCTATCAGGACTTGTGTACCAAAGAGTATCTTGAGGCGAATTGGAATGAAAACTTGCTGGGATCTGGAGCGCACATCCCAGATTGTGGTTTGAGGGGGTCTTGGGCGAATTTGGAAACTATGGTCCAAGCTTGTAGTAATCCTTCAAAAAATCAAAATTAGTTTTTAAGTTTTAGCAATCAAAAAGGATGCAGCGGGGTAGATTTCTACTCAACCAAGTGAAAACCTTTAACAAAAGAATAATAAAAATAAAAAATAGTTAATGGGAAGGTAGAATATTATGTTTGTTGGGTATGAAAATGGAGGCTTTGATCTAGTGTGGCATAGAATAATTCATTCAAATATCATGACGTTAATAAAAAAAAAAAAGGTAGTAAAAGAGAACAGCAATTGCCTTGCCAGTTTTATGCAGATTTTACATACCTAGAACAAGATGGGAAAGAAACAATTGAACAGCTTTTGATTGCCATGTAGTATTGAACAAATCTATGTGGAAATGACTAATACAAAGCTTATAAAAGTTGTTTGTGTAAGAAATTCTATCCTAAAAACCTATATAATATTTGAAAGTTAGCTAACTCAATTCATTATACTTCAACATTGGTAAGTTAGCACACATGAAAGGGCGGGCTAATTCAAAATTCCTACATATCAACTTTGACCACTCATTATATTGTGGTGAAAAAAAGAAAGAAAGAGATAGGGTTTCTCTCGCTTTTGGCATAGTAGGCCTCTAATGGGAGGCTCGCATGACAAGCTATTAGCTCAGTGATAGAGTGCGCCCCTAATAATTGCCTCATTGTGCCTGGCTGTGAGGGCTATCATCCACGTGGATAGTTCAATGTGCTCATCAATGCCTGACCCAGAGATGTGGATCATCCAAGGCAAATTACCATAGCATACTCATCTTATTTGAACCAGGGTTTGAAACCAAACTCCTCAAAAGGATAGATGGGGCAATTCAGGTGAGATCCAATGTAGATCCAACTTTCGATTCACTCATGGGCTCCGGGCAGTTCGAGAGGGACCACCGTGGCTCCTCTCTTCTTAAGAATCCATACATCCCTTTAAGTGCATGGATAGCTATCTTTTGAGCACAGGTTTAGGTTTGGCCTCAATGGGAAAAAATGGAGCACCAATCAACGCATCCTCACAGGCCAAGAATTGCAAGATCACCTCTTTCATTTTGGGAAGACAGAGGGATTGTATCAATCGAGCCATTTTTTTTATGCTCTTCTTAAAGGTCTAAAGAAAGTTGGAATCAATAGGACTTTGCTAATCCTCCCTTCCTAATAGGAAGAGTGTGAAATTCTTTTTCCTTTCTGCAAGGACAAAGAGATTGAATCTAGTTGTAAGAAGAAAGCTTGGTAAAAATAACTCACTTCTTGGTCTATCCCCTCAATCACTATGACCGTCCCCAATTAGTGCAATGGAATGTGTCTATTTATCTATCTCTTGACTCAAAATGGGAGCAGGTTTGAAAAAGAATCTTAAAATGTCTAGGGTTGGGCTAGGAGGGTCTTGTAATGCCTTCTTTTTCTTCACATCAGAGTTATTTTACAAAGACTTGTCATGGTAAGGAAGAGGGAAAAACAAGCACACTTGGAGAGCACAATACAACGGAGAGTTATATGTTGTGTTCGAAAAGGATGAATCGCTCCCAAAAAGGAATCTATTGATTCTCTTCCAATTGGTTGGCCTGTAGGTGCGATGATTTACTTCATGGCGAGGTCTTTGATTCAAGTATAGGATGGCCCAATTGCACCAGGGAAAAGAACAGAAGAAGCATCTAACTCCTTCATGCATGCTCTTCTTGGCTTAGAGAGACATAGCTTAGTTGGTAGAATTCCGCTCTTGCAATTTTGTAGTTGCGATTGCGGGTTAGATGTCCAATTGTCCAGGCAATAATGATAGGATCTTGTACTTGAACTAGTGGCTCACTTTTTCTAAGTAATGGGGAAAAGGACCAAAACGTGCCATTTAAAGACTTTAATGAGACAAAGACAAAGATGGGCTATCAAAAATGTAAAAAGGTAGGATGGGCAATTGGTCAGATCCAATATGGATCATACATGGACGGTAGTTGGAGTTGGTGGCTCTCCTAGGGTTCCCTCATCTTGGATCCTTGGGGAAGAGGATTAAGTTGGCCCTTGCAAACACCATGATGCACTATCCCCCTTTAACCCTTTGAGCGAAATGCGGCAAAAGGAAGGAAAATTCATGGATCAACCTCATCATCCCCATCCCATAGGAACTACAAGATCACCCCAAGGATGCCTTCGGCATCCAAAAGTCACAGATTGACCACAGAACCCTTCTCAATAAGTAGAATGCATTAGATATCCACTCTCAGTTTAGGCAATAAGGATTGAAAAAGGGCAACACTCATTCTTAAAACTAGTGTTTTTAAGACCAAAGAGTTGGGCAAAAAAGGGGGAAAGCTCTTCGTTCCCGATTTTCTTATAGCTAGATCCCCAGGAACCATAAGATCCTTAGTTAGAATGAGATTCCAACTCAGCACCTATTGAATGAGATTTTGAGAAGAGTTGCTCTTTTGAGAGCACAATACGATGAAAGTTGCAAGCTATGTTTAGGGAGGGGGGAGTTATTGTCTATTGTTGGCCTCTATGGTAGAATTAGTCAAGGGACCTGAGAGGTGGTAGTTTACTGTGTAGTAGATCTCAGTGGTTCAAGTACCTTTTGTCTAAGTCGTGAACTTAGCCGATACAAAGCTATATGATAGCACCCAATTTTTTAGATTCAGCGGTTCAATCTATAGTTTCTCATTCATGGATGTTGATAAGATCCTTCCATTTAGCAGCACCTTAGAATGGCATAGCCTTAAAGTTAAGGGCGAGGTTCAAACGAGAAAAGGCTTACAGCGAATACCTAGGCACCTAGAGACGAGGAAGGGCATAGTAAGTGACAAAATGTTTTGGGGAGTTGAAAATAAGCATAGATCCAGAGATTCCCAAATAGATTAACCTTTTGAACTACTACTGAATCCTTGGGTAGACAAGAGACAACCTGGCAAACTAAAACATCTTAGTAGCTAGAAGAAAAGAAAGCAAAAGTGATTCTTGTAGTAGTGGCTAGCAAAATGGGAGTAGCCTAAATAATGAAAATGGGGTTG